TTGAATTCTACCGTATAGTGCAATATTAATGTAATGTCAGGGGTTTTCAATTCAACGTGTGGAGTGTGAAGGATGTGTGTTTGTGTTTATTTTCATGGTCATGATGTGCACTGAAGATGGTGTTTGATTTTGTTGTATGAGCTGCAATGACAATAAACTAAACTAAACTAAACTAATCAAGTTCAGAGTCACACTATCAAGATGTTCAGGGATGTGGAAGCCGAGGCATGTTGAAGAACCTGGCTAGGTATGGCCAGGGGTGGAATTCAAATTTTTAAACAACCGGTTCTGTGGGCGTGGCTTAGGTGGTGAGTGTGGCTTGGTGGTCATGTGACTGGGTGGACATGGCTTGGTGGTCATGTTATTAACTGGGTGTGGCCAACTCAATATCATTCACATCGAGGCACCCATCTCCTCACCTAACCTCTCATGACTGTGGGAATGCTGCAACAGTCCTAAGTGTGAAAAATGGTCATAAGTCACTTTTTTCAGTGCCATTGTAACTTTGAATGGTCACTCCACACAAGCAAAGTACCAGCAAAGGAGGGGAAAAAAACTCCAGAGAGGTTCCTGAGAAAGGAAGTCTAGTCCTGCCAAGAATGTAATAAGGGTTAATGGAGAGGCAGTTTCTGTAAGCAACACCAGAATGTTTCCTTCCTACCTTCCTTACAGGATTAGGCCAGTGATTTCTTCTAACAACCAGTTCTCCGAACTGCTTAGAATGTTAACAACCAGTCCTAGAGAATAGGTGCAAACCTGTAGAATCCCACCCCTGGGTATGGCTAGATATAGTGCTCTGCCAGAAAAAATGGGCTCCCAAGCTCCATTTTCGGCTGCCATGGCCTCCTGCATCCCTCTGCCAGTGAAAATGGAACTTGGGAGGGCTGCACAAGCTCCATTTTCACTGGCAGAGGGTTGCAGGAGGCCGTGGCAGCCAAAACAGAGTGGGAGGCCCTTTTTGCGGGCAGGTCGCTTGGACCACCACAACCGCCCCTGATATGAGTGACGTTGAGCTGGCCATGCCCACCCTATCAAACACAACCCTGATGCGGCCCACAGTGAAATCAAGTTTGACACCCCTGTCTTAGAGGAATCCACCAGTTTTGGATTTCTGCTTTCAATGGGTGCATTACTCAGAATGCTGACACTCTGTTTATTAGCGTGACCTTCTGCCTTTGTTTATCCTAGACAGGGGACCGGGATAGGATTGGTGTCACATAGAGATCCCTGCCAAAAACTTTGTCATCATTTTCTCATTGAACTTCAACTAGGAGACTGAAATGAAATTTCAGTTATCATTGTAGGGAACCATTTTAGATATTCTGAGCCAGCTATCCTATTGGTGCCCACAGAAGGGTCAAAAGAGCCAAGATGGCTGCCATAACCATGAGACCGAAGGTGAACACTGGGTTTTGACTGCATGGTTTAAACAGGGACATCTCGGACCCCACTGTTCATTCAGAGGCTCGCATTATAAATCTTGAGAAACATGAACATGTAAGAAAGAGTAAAAATGTTGAAGAACAATGTGACTAGAAACCTGTTTATGGCATAATCTATATATATAAAAGTGAAAAAAACACTCACACATCATCACAAAATCTCCAGAACTGTAAAGCCTACAAACTTGAAATTTAGCATGTATGTTCCGCTTGGCTTCTAGGTGCTCACTGAGAAGGGATTTTTTGAAATGACCATCAGAGCATTAGTATTTTGTATATTATTAACATGCTCTGATGCTAAAGAGTTCTACTCCCCCTCCCCACCTGAAAAGAAATCTGCTCCAAATACAAATCACAAGCAGAGGAGAGGAGTTTCAGTCTCAGTTTCAGAGCAGCAATCAGGTTTAGTACAGAACAGTTTAGCTAACTGGCTCTTTGCTGTCTCCTTCTTGCTTTCACAGCAAATACTGTTTCAGTTTCTAAACAGCCCTCAACTCTCACGCACTGACAGGATGCTAGCCAGATGAATACCAATGGATGCTGGTAGTCCGAAGTACATTTCCCCCCCCTTATTTTCCTCCCCAAAATCTAAGCCTGGTCACATAGTTTTGAAGCGAAGCATGGGTATAGAGCTGGTATTAAAATATGGCAGCCCACATCCATCTGGCAAAAGGGGCAAAAATTCAGAACCTGAAGTTTTCAGTGCCATTTTTTAATTTGAGGTAACCAATCATGGGCTTGGACCCAACTCCCCAAATTCCTAATCTCTAGGGTTTATGGGAGTTTGAGATCAAAAATTCACTGCCATTACCTTCTCTGTAAACCTTTGCTGAACTTATATGTGTCCAATGAGGGCTGGGAAGCAAATGCTTATCCAGTAGATTAGATCTCCAAACTTAGTGGAAAACCAAGTTTTATTTTCAGCTTAAAACATCCCTCTCCCTTTCATTGCAGTTTGATATAAGAGGTAGCTAAGTCAAGCTTTTTTCTTCTTTCTTTTTAAACTCAAATATAACCCCCAGTGTATTTAATTGGGCTTGGTTTTCAAGGAAGCAGCTTCAGGCTGATTTAAAAGAGCTCAGCATTACTGGAGTCCGGAAGAGCTGATCCGATATAAACTAGCAGCAATCGTGCAGTAAAGATGTCTGGCTGAGAAGGAACTAAGTGTCGGAGGACAATGATTTAATGCGCCTTCCTGGGGCTGAGAGCTGGTCCCGTTTGTGCACTCTGCCCTGGAGAAATGTTGGCCTTCAACTCACCTGGGGATGGAGAGACACATTTCTCATGCCCTCTTCCAATCCTATAAATCGGTCTGTGGCCTGGAGGTTCCCCGCCATCTGGGGCTGACCTCGTGCTCCACCCGCTGTTGGGACCCAGCAATGCCAGGTGAGCCGAAGCGCGGAGAGAAACTGCAGATCATTTAATTGCTAACAAAGGGAAGGTGCATTTGTCTTTGGAAGGCAAGGAGTCTTCCCCTGCTTGGCCTAAGGATTAGGTGTTGGGTGAGGGCTTGGACGCCTCCCCAAATCTGACATTTCCTCCAATCCTTCCCCCCCACCCCAAGCAATTTATTAAGCCCACATTATTAGTTTAAAGGAAAGGTCCTGCGAGATTGCCAAATATTAACTGATAACATTTTGATTAGTGAAACATTCATGGGTTTTGCCAGCATTAGTTTTCTCCTAGTCACGCTCCACAGGTTGGTTTGTTTTTTTTTAAATCACGAACAGGCCATTTCAAATTTGCTAGTTAAAAAAAGGTCTTTTAGGAACTGCAAGCACTCAGTTTGTGCCATTGGGATACAAGGGTTTCTTTCAAGCTTCTTTATTAGCCAGATGGTGTTTTTAGCAAGGGTACCGATGTTCCCAGCCCAGAGGCCTTTTAGTATTATTCATGTACAGTATTCGTGTGGGTGGGTGTTTATCTGCTAGTGACTTTATCACCTGCCACTGAAAGAGGCACAAAATGACTTACCCTCAAAAGTAAAATCGATACCAAAATTCAATTAAAGCACGATGAAAACCATAATTAAAATTCCACTTAGAAACCCCAAAGAATAAAATAGACAGCAAAATTGTCACAGCCTCAGCAGCCATGACTGACCTTTGGGTCATATTTATCAATTTTGATTTGATCTCAGCAGGAAGCAAATCCTTCAATGTTCCTTAAAAGGGAGCTACTTAGTGGCCATTCTTACTCAGCAGGGTATTCCAACAGATGGAAAAAAACAGTATAAAGGCCACAATTCCATCTGTAACTAACACTAGGCAACCCATTAACCATTGGGTTATTGTTTCAGAGTTATTTATTTATCTAAACAGAGAAATAGAATGGCCATAAGTGGGCAAAAAAACCAGTGGGAGTGACTTACTCCTGGCTTCCTCATTGAGTTTCCTTGTGAGAAGTTGGCAATGTGTGTTCAAAATCTTTTTCCTTCCTTCCTTCTTTCCTTCCTTCCTTCCTTCCTTCCTTCCTTCCTTCCTTCCCAATCCATTCACCCATCCATCCATCCCTCTCACCATCTAGCCATCTATCCATCCATCCATCCATCCATCCATCCATTCTTCTAGTTTGTTCCTTCCCTCCACTTTCTTCACTCCTTTCTCCTTCTTCTTCCTTCCTCCCCTTCCTCCCTCTTCATTTCTCCTTTCTTCCCTCCCTCCCTCCTCTTTCCTGACACACAAGGTTCCATTAATTTAAAGATCACAAAGCCAGCAGGCAGTTCCAAGTCCAAAGCCAGCAGGCAGGTAAGCGACTGGCAGTCAGGTAGGGGAAGGAGCAAGGCATTGTGCAAATTGGCCAGTGCAGTGCAAGCACAGAGAGACCGGGGGGGGGGGCTGCAGGGTTAGGGGAGACATACCTGAGCCATTTGCAACCTTCCCTGCTGGTTTCCACATTGGCTTTCTCCCTGCAGGTTTCCCACAAGCAAAGCGTTCACTCTTGGGAAGGTTGCAGGGAGCAACCTCAACTTTCCTCCTTGCCACTCCTGCCAGCTTCCCTGTTGTCTTCTGGAAAACTGACAGGGAGTGTTGGAAATGAGGATAACATGATCGTTATGAACAGCCTCGGTGGCGCAGTGGTTAGAGTGCAGTACTGCAGGCCACTTCTGCTGACTATCGGCTGCCTGCAATTTGACAGTTCAAATCTCATCAGGCTCAAGTCGACTCAGCCTTCCACCCTTCCAAGGTGGGTAAAATGAGGACCCAGATTGTTGGGGGCAAGAGGCTGACTCTGTAAACCACTTACAGAGGGCTGTAAAGCACCATGAAGCAGTATTTAAAGCTCAGTGCTATTGCTATTGCTTTTGTGGCAGCAGTGCTGAAGTGACAGCAGCACAGCAGTGCTAAAGTCCCCACAATTCCCCAAATTCCATTCCCCAAAGAGTCAGGACTTCGAACAGTCTGTAAGTTATCCCATTTAAGTTAGGCTCAATTTTGCTTTTCTAGAACGTTATTTTTTTTTTCCAGTTCCCTAAGAAAGGGTCAGTCCCAAGGAAATGAGTATTCTATTAATCACATTCATTACAGAATAGAATCATCAGTCTGTTCCAAAGCAGCTTCAAGCTTTCACACCTATGTCTTGATTTAGCCGGCTGCCAGAGAGGCCTCTGTAATCAGCAAGCTTTGAGTTTGACGCCCGTCGGGATTGCATCTTGGATGCCGGTCGGAACCGCCTGTGGCCACCTTCGTCAACCTTCTCGAAAACGTAACCGGGTGGCTCTTTGAAAGAGGCAGGGCATATGTGCACGTCCTTGGCTGTGTAACTGGTGCCGTAGGTGGTGGTCTCAGCAAACGGCAAATGAGGTCTGGCCACTGGCAAGCGGGGCCGGAAGCTCTTTATGGACGGGAGCGGGTGAGGAACGTAATGGGTTTGGAAGGAGGTCATGAGGTCCATGGGTTCGGAGGACAAGGTGATCTCGCAATGGGGCAAGATGGGCTTGGATCTTTCAGAGTGCCAATGCTGGAAGTCTTCCTTCATAGTGGAGCAGTTGCTGAAAGGTTCTGTGTGTTCGACAACCCGGGCCAAGGGTTTATACGATGTTGCCGGGCGCCCATGAGGATCTCCATAGTGGGTCTGTGCTGTTGTTTGGAGGTCCATCTTCTCTGTAGGAGGAGTGTAAGCCACCGGCTTCTTGATGATGCGAGGACCTACTGGCCAGGCTAAGAACTTCTCCTTGAATTCAGTAGTGCCCATAAAATTGCCTGCATCTGGCCTCACATAATCTGGTTTCGTGGACTTGGCTGGCTCGCCTGCTAAGCCTTTGTAAGCAAGCTTGTGGGTGGTGAGACCATCAAATGGGACATTGTAGGCCTGGAATGGCTCTTGGGTATGGACAAAGCGTTTTGGGATGGGGTGAGGCACATAATTCAACTTATAATTGGTCATGCTATCCAAGGGGACCTTGGAGGTGTGAAGAGGCCTTACAGGCTTATAGTGCTTGGTGGTGACCAGCCCTTTGTATTGGAAAGCATCCTGGTTAGTGGTCCTGTGATCAAATTTTTCTTCTGGTGGGCGGTAATTGTTATCTGGCTTAATCATCTCTCTTTTTGGCTGATTCCATGCCACGTAATCAGCTGAAATGTAAGCAGATGGGATTAAAGAGGATATCATTACACTCGTAAACATTCCTGCCTCCATTCTAATAAATTGCAATTTTACAGCATTCAAGCAAACGATGACAGGAAAAAAAATGAAAGCGGTTCTTTTTGTATTGGAAGGATGGCGAAGGATTATTTAGCAATAAACCACATAAAGATGGGCTCATGGGAATTGTAAATGGAATGAATATGGAATCAGGCAACTATAAACACATCATTTTGTTATTTTTAATTTTGGAGTATTGATATTATGTTTCTATCCCATTGCCAGAGAGCCACTTTGGCATAGTGGTTAAGACTTCAGCTAGAAAATATTATACCCTAAGTCCTAGTCCATGGGTATCAAACCCAAGGTCCACGAGGTGCTTAGATCTGGCTTGTGGGGCCCGCCTGGAACTAACAAAGGACCAACCTGTGGTGCCTCTGTTAGCAAAAATGAGGTCTGGGGGGCTGCCCATATCCGCCTGCACCCAGTTTTGGCCGGCAGGTAGTGGTGGAATTCAATTTTTTTTACTACCGGTTCTGTGGGCATGGCTTGGTGGGCGTGGCAGGGGAAGGATACTGTAAAATCTCCAGTCAGAGGTGGTATTTGCCGATTCTCCGAACTACTCAAAATTTCCGCTACTGGTTCTCCAGAACTGGTCAGAACCTGCTGAATACCACCTCTGCTGGCAAGGTGCTGCAGGAAGCCACCCGGGCTGAAAATGGGGTGTGTGGGGACCACCTATAGCCTCCCCGCACCCCATTTTGGCCAGCAGAGTGCTGCAGGAGGCATCCATCCTGTCTCCTCCCCCCCACCCTGGCTGGCCTGCACAGGACAACTACAATGCTGATCCGGCCCTCCAATAAATCCAATTTGACACCCCTGTCCTAGTCCTATCGTAGGCATAAAGTCAGCTGGCTGATTTTGGGCCAGTCTCTCTCTCTGAGCCCCTGGAAGCAGGCAATGGTGAACCACTTCTGAAAAACCATGCCAAGAAAACTGCAGGAAATTTCCCAGGGAGTGGCCAGGTGTGTCAACACTGACTTGGAGGTAATCCTGAAAAATCCCATTGCTGGAGGATTGAAGTAAGATTTTAGTACAGTCCCACCAAGCATCTGCAAGTAGAATCTGGAAAGGTAGATAGCACCTTCATAATGAAACAGCAAGACAACATAACCTAACCTTGGAGTCATTCTATTCCTGGCATCCATTTTAAGGCAATTCAAGGGATCTGGAACTTGTATTTTGCATCCAAAGCCCCCGATCCTAATGTCGTTCATACATATCTTTTTTTTTTTTTCATTGCAAGCCTTAACTGCAAAAGTGATTTCCTTTCAAGCATGTGGAATTTTTCTTTTTTCAGGTTTACCATTCTGGCCTGGGAAACGTCATGTAATTAGCAGATAGTGAAAAGTCTGTGTAGTTTAGCCATTCAGATCTAGTAATCTTATCTCGAATGAAACCAGGGAAATATCTCACAAGGTTCTCCAAGGGTTTCTAACTTCTCAAGATGATAACATTTCTTCTCCTCCTTAAACATTGAACTGAAGGTTAGTACAGACTTCTATAAATAAGCTGGAAAAGTCAGAGACACTTGAGTTCATATTCATTGCTTCATAGATGGGATTCAACTCTCAAATTCCTCTTGATTCTGATGTCAATTGAAATCTTTTTCTACATATATAACTTTATTAAGAATTTGGATTGTAGTAATAAAGTTCATGCGAACTAAGCTTTAAAAAAGAAGAGAATAGAAATAAAAAGTGCAAGAAAGAAAGAGAAAAAAAGAGAAAGAATAAAAATATAATAAAGAGAATAAATGTTCAAAGATTCCCAGTCTTCATCAAAAAAATAAACAAATTTACTCTCTTTAAGGATACAAACATTTATCTCTTCATCCCATATCCCATCTCTTAGCTATGAACAAATCTATAAAAACCTCATTTTTTTCAGTCCTGATGGCCACAGAAATTCCATAAAGAGTTAGCAGAAGTAACCTCACATCTTGTTTTAACCTTGATCAAATAAATCTATTTTATATTCCTTCCTTTTATTTCTAACAGCCATAATTTTTGTTCAAATACTGTCAGAAAATTTTATTTCTTTTCATTTCTTTGTCCTATTGCACAGAATTCTTCAAGGCTTTACAAGGCTCTTTTGTAAGCCCACTAGGAAAAATAGGTTACTTTCTTGGTTTGTCACTTGCATTTTACTTTAAAAACTCAGCCAGTTTCTTTTGTGTATCTAATAGTGAAACACTTTTCTAGGTCATTCTCTTGGTCTTTCAGTTATATATCTTTTTTGATATTATCTCATTTTTTCAGATAAAAGTTATTCTTCATATTTAGCATTTTCTTGTGCTTAAAATTTTTAATTCGCTCTAGTATCATTTTTGAATTCATGAAATTATTTATCTTTGTTTTATCTTGTAAAAACCAAAACAGAATGTATTTTCCATGAGAAGTTGGTTGTTCTTTACAATTAATTCCAAAGTCGTCTTGTAAAAGTTTTAATACTCCAGTTTTATCTGGACCCTAAGTCTGTTTCTAACTTTCCAAGATCAAGACCTGATTTAGCTTTTTGCTGTTTATTTTAGATTCTTTAAATTCAGAACATTACGATTAAAATTGTATCCCATTCAGGATTGAAGGTAGACTCACCTGGCAAGTTCAAAATGGTCAGTTCAAAGGTCTCTAATAGCTTAGATGTCGCTAACGAGCAAGTTCCAGAACTGATTAGAAAGTGTGGTTTGCGAATTTAGTGTCCTTTAAAAGCCTTCTGCAGGAAGTAACAATGGCTTCCTGTGTATCAGGATTTTGAAAAAAAATTAGGACATCACAGAACAAAACAAGACATTGAAGTGAAACCATGCGTGATATGGCTCAGGCAGTCATCAGTACTGACAAAAGAACTCTAAAATTATCTCCCTATCTGGAGAGAACACTGTATCTCAGAGTTAATGAAAAAAAATGAAAACCGTGAACTGCAAAACTGCAAGGAATTCAGATATTTTATCGTACCGCTTATAGGCACCTCATCCTGTTTAGTAGTTAGTCTATCATGTTTAATATTCTTAGATCAATGTTATGGCTATTTTTTCTTAATACTGCATTTATTCTAGCATTCTATTATTGTATTATATTGTAGTCTGTTCTATTCTATTCTATTCTATTCTATATTCTATTCTATTCTAATTATTCTATTATATTCATTCCATTCCATTCATTATTATCCCAGAATTATCTGTAGATGAATTATCTTCATGTAATGGAGAAATAGCAAATTTCAAAGCCATAGACTAGACTGAATCCGTAGGAAATCCTAGGACTGTGGACAAACAGGAAGTTAATAAAACATTTTGGAAGGAGACACTGGCAAACCACTTTGCATTCATATAATTATTAGGTGTGAAGCTGAACTGAAGAAATCCTTATGCTTCCCTTTTGACTGCCATGCAATGGCGTGTGCGTGTGTGTAGAATTTTGGGAACTGAAGTCCAAACAATCTAAGATTGTCAAGTTTGAAAAATAGAATATACTGCAGGAGATAAAAGGTAATAAAATGGTAGAACAGGTGATGTGCAGACCAGAGGGATCACGCATAAGCATTGACATGCAATAAATAACTGTTTTTGATTCAGGAAAGGAGGAGAGGTCTGAATTCTTGCAACTCATATTAAAAACAATAAAAAACGACAATATGTAATCTAAAAAGGATAAATGGGAGAGCAAATTCAGGTAAGGTACCAGGCTAGAAAATAGAAGACTCTGGCTTCTGGTCCTACTTAAGCATGAAAGTCATCTGGGCAGTGGTGGGATTCAGTCAGTTCACACCGGTTCAGGTGAATCGGTTGTTAAATTTACACACACACCCCAACTAAATCTTGGCACTGCGCTGCAATGGCGAAACGGGCAATGGAGTGGCCGATGTGAAGGGAAAA